AGTTTTGACTAAAAATGGGAGAGAAATTAGACTTTTTAACTCAAATTTTGGATTCTTCCTCTATAGTGCTCCAATTTATTGTCAGATGATTAGAAAATCACTTTTTGAATCTTTCGTGGACAATACTGCCCTTATATAATATATTTTCATTGGATTCAAATCCTTTTATAGTTCGTTCTTCCTCGTTCAAATATATATATAAATTACACTGCCACCTTCTAAAGTTTATTTTTATTACAGTTCATCCCTTTACATTTGGAAAATTACATTGACTCTCCTATTAATTTAATTTTATGTATGATGATCATTATGGTAAGGGAGAAATTGTTATAAAACTTTAAACCTCAGGGAAACTGACATCTCCTAAAGTTTATTTTTATTACAGTTTATCTTCTCACATTTGAAAAATTACATTGGCTCCCATGTTAATTTAATTTTATGTATGATGATCATTATGGTGAGGGAAAAACTGTTATGAAACTTTAAATCTCATGGAGGGAAATGTAATTTTCAAAAAGTGAGGGAAGAAACTGTAATAAATATAAATTTCAAAGGGTTTCAATATAATTTACCCTAAATATTTTAATATTTTCTTCATTCAATCATTATCCAACAATTGATTCAAATGTCACAAATCAACTCCTCTCTAAAAATGATGGCAAAACGTAGAAAGAGTTGGAAATGATCCTCTTCCATTTTCAGCAATATGATTTTTTATATGTAGATTACACTAATAAATATTATAAAAATTATACTTATCCACTAAGAAAAATAATATTCATTATTTAAAAGTTTAATTTGTTATTTTTTAATTTTTATATATACAGGGATTACCATATCCCTATCATGAAATATAAGTTTTGACAAAATTCCTTCCATAGAATACTATTAGTTAAGAACATGCCTATAAATTATATAAGTTCACTATCCCCTAGTGTTAATAAAAAAAATTGATACTTGTCCCTAAGATATTCTCATATCTAAATCTCTCTCTCTCTCTCTCTCTCTCTCTCTCTCTCTTATTTTTCTTATTTGTTTCAGTTATCTCATGCCTCTTCTTATTCTTCTTTTGTTTCAATTTATTTATTTATTTATTTTTTCGATTCTCTCTTCGACTTGATTTTTATTTTTGTTTTTTTCATTAGCTTTCTCATATATATTTCAAAATTTCTTCTTCTCCTTCTTTTTTTCCCCTTGTTTCTTTATTTTGATTCTTTATTTTATTCTTCTTCTTTAGTAAGAATTGAAGTTATTTGTAAAAATTGAACTACATAGAATGTGATAGTTGTATATATATATATTTTTTATAGCTTTGTTACATATCCCAATGATAGTTATTTACGTCTTTCAAAATTGATTATATTTGCAAACTTATAAATAAATGTTATCCCAATGACTTCACAAAGCAAGAAAGCTGCATTTTAAATTTTAATTACAAAATTATGGGACTGATATTCTTAAACATCTCCAATTTTAAAAGTTGTCAACAATTTTTAATGTGTGCCAAATGTTGGTGAAAACATGATACATGATAATTTTATAGTAAGTTATCTAGTCACATATCCTATTGATTATATATTTTTGAATAAATATATGTGATGATATAGTTTTGTGATATTTTTTGCATTGCATTGATAGAAATTGATATTGAATTTTACATGTTTATCACAATTTTTTTTTTTGAAAAAATAGAAAATAAATTTTACTTTTTCAATGAAATTCCCATAAAATCCCTATTAACACATGAAACAACGCTCCTAATATAGTGATAATAGGATTCAATAAAAATTTCATTAGAGAAATATATACATTTGCCTCCTTAAGATTAAACTCCTACATGTCCTTGTCTACGCATAATAACAATTTGAAAGTGTAATGACCCATAATTTCTTTTTTTAAATAGTCAGTGCATAATTTAATTGAGTAATTTTTCATATATTGACTGCTGCGTAAATTCTGTGCGAAAAAAGTTTGGTTTTGTATTTTTTAAAAATAGTTCCTGATCTCAGAAAATTATGATATTTTTATATGTTGTTCCCATATGAGTCTAGCATGTTGGATAAAAATTTCAGAATTTAATGATGAGTATTTATTTTATGAAAATTCACGGACTGATTAGTGTTCAGTTTAATTCATACCAGATTTTTGTTATTAAATTTTGAATGTTTAGACCATGACTTGAGATAAAGTTTGTTAGGTTTATTTTGGTATGTAATTGGGCTATATTTGGCTTATGGGTGAGAATTTAATTTAAGACCCATGACTTAGATTCAATTTTATTTGAGTTTGTTTAATGACTTATGTTTAACTGTTTAGTCTATTTTAATTATGTGATTGGTAGTGATCACATTGGGAGTTGTTATTATTTATTATATAAGATTATAATATATATTTCAAAGTTAAATTTATGGTGTGTACCATACGGTTTTTTGTAGTGAATAAAAATGAGTGTATATTTTATAGTGAGTAAAAGATTATATTTTATGATGTACAAAATATTATATTTTGTGGTGAAATAAAATTATATCATTATATAATTTATGTACAAAATTTTAAAGATATTATTGTCATATATTTTGTATTAGATTGGGTGATGTTAGATTTGATGATTATCTAGGGAAGCTAACCCACGTGGAGGTTGTTCCCCACGTCCTTTCTCCCTATCTCTTCTTTCCTTCTACTTCATTTTGCTTTTGTTTTTTTTTTTCCCTCTTCAGCAGAGAGCTTTGTTGCTGAGAAAATTTGGTAATTTTCCTACATATTCTCAGAGACTGAACCCAGATTAATGGTTCAGAGTTGATGGGTATGTTTGGTTTGGTTCTCTTTAAAAATTGTTTTTGGGCGAAAGTTTAAAATTTTTTTTGGTTTGTTTGGTTGTGTATTTTGAAAGTAATTTTGGAATTTGAGGGTTTGAAATGATTTGATATAAAAGTATTATAAATGAAAGTCGGAGAACTTGTTGTGACTTTCGCAATGGTGGTCTCGGATTTATGATCAGGCAAAGTTTGCTTTTTCAAATTTTCTTTTCTTCATATTTGAGGT